TGTTATCTATGTCTTAATCCAAGTTATTGTTAAAATCTTGAAAGAGCTAAGGATGAAGCCTTGGGACATTCTGCTAGCAAACACTTTTCAAGTTGACCTTGGTCCATTAGTCGATATTCTTTGGGGTCCAATCAGGCAACCAGTTCTAAAACCACTTAAATGTACTGTCGTCCAGTCTATCTTTACTCCATCTTGTTTATGTTTTATCACGATGTGCACTTTCTTATCTTCATGGAAGCCACTGGCCAAGTTCAACAGTACTTGCATAGGTATCCTCCAGTACCGTTGGGTCCCAATATCTTTTCTCTTCCTGTGATATACTCATGCTGCTCACTTGGCTAGGTCTCCTGGGCCTGCTCCTCTGCCCAGCTCAACACTGGTCATGCTTTTTGCATTTTTGCATTTCTACAAAACTTCTTTGCTGATAGGGAATGGGGCAGAAAGAGAGAAAAATTCACTCTGGGCTTCTCCTTCCCCTTCCCCATCCTCACTTTGTGAGTTGATATTTTTGAAAAAAGCCCCAATTTGCTTTAAAAACAACCAAACAAACCTCAGTTTTAACCCTTTTTACATACTTCTAGTTATTGGAGTTGGGTTTTGGGTTTTTCTTATTCATTCAAATCACAGTGTTTTTTTCTTCTAGGAGTTGGTAGGGATAGCATATAAAAGCAAGCTCCAACATTTTGGCCCAGGCTGTTCAATCTTTATTCCTCTCTAATGTCTTCTGACTTTCTGGACTTTGCCACCATGTCTCAGCTGCTGTCCCAACGTGGAATTTCCATCAGTTTCTCCTCACCTTGTAACACCCATCTTTTTCAATGGCCTTCTCACCCTGGAACATCCCTCTGCCCTGCCTGCCTTCTTCTTTCATTGGTGAGTGACTCCTTGCGCTTCTATTTTGGGGAGGGTCCTAGGGTGGCCAAACTTCATTCTCTTCCCAGTTCTGCTATTGACTTTCCAGACTTCAATGTGGGTACTTAGCTTTTCCCATCCCCCATACGCCTTTTCAACTCTTTTTTGTATAATGTATTCCCCCATTAGAGTGTAAGCTCTTTAAAAGCAAGGGGCAGTTAGGTGGTACATACTGAAACGACATTGCAACCATTCATTAAAAAACATAGAGTGCCTGGCCTGGAGTCAGTCAAATCTGGCTTCAGACACTTACTAGCTGTGTGTCCCTGGGCAAGACTCTTAACCCTGTTTGCCTCAGTTTCCTCACCTGTAAAATAAGCTGGAGAAGGAAATGACAAACCACTCCAGCGTCTTTGCCAAGAAAACCCCAAATGGGGTCACAAAGAGTCAGACATGATTGTAAAACGACTGAACAACAACAATAAAACCCATCTTTTGTTGTCTTGCTTGTATTCGTATTCAAAGTTATTGGAGTTTTTCACAAAGGAAAACAGCAACAACTTTACGCAGTGCCTGGCATATAGTAAGTGCTTAATAAACTCTTGTCGCTTTGCCTGGTCTTTTAACTTCTCTCAACAATAAGTCAGACAAGTATTTATTAAGGGCCTATCTCCTAATCCCTGAGTTAAACCTGGCAGATACAAAGAAAGTCTAAAAGACTTTCTCAATGACCTCACCCAATGGTGCAGCCCTAGGCAAAGAGGCTGCTAAAATTTTGTGTGGACGCCTATAAAGCAGCAAGTAAAGCTCTTCACAGCTTTGGAAGACAAAGATGACAAAGTTGACAACCTTAAAAGAAAATAGAGTTTGAGCCAGATGCCCTATAGATACATAGCAAAGGACAAAGAACTAAAAGGGATTGTAGAAATTAACTGGTCCAGGGATGGGGACAGGCGGGGGGCCTAGAGGCCACATGTGGCCCTCTAGGTCCTCAAATGCTGCCCTTTGACTGAACCCAAACTTCACAAAGTAAATCCCTTAAGAAAAGGATTTGTTTTGTAAAACTTGGACTCAGTCAAAAGACCACACTTGAAGTCCTAGAAGGCCACAAGTGGCCTGTAGGTGGCAGGTTCCCCACTCCTGAGCTAGTCCAACCCCTTTCACTTTACAAATAAAGAAAGCAACCCAGAGAAACTGAAGTCATAAGGTTGATCATGGATTTAGAGACAGTTGGAATCACAGAAGCCTCCAAAGCTGGCTCCCTCCTTTTACAGATGGTAAATAGCAGGGCCCAGGCCTGAATCTTCATCCTCCTATGCCACATAACTAAAGTACCATCATCATTGCAAGTACTAATGATAGCTAAGTTATATAGCACTTAACCTGTGTCAGGCACTGTGCTAAGCAGTTTACAATTATCTCATATGATCCTTACGATAACCTTGGGAGGGAGATGCTATTAGTATCCCCATTTTACAGTTGAAGAAACTGAGGCAAAAGGAGTCTCGCCCAGGGTGACACAGCTAGTCTAACTCTGAATTTGAACTCGGGTTTTCCTGACTACAGGTCCAGGACTCTATCCACTAGGCCACCTCCCTGAGGTTAGATGCAAGATGACTAGGAAGTCATTCTTACCGGTCTACTGTTAATGAGCATCTTAGAAGTAGTGATTGGATTAAATAAATTTCCACCTTGATTAGTAAATTTACACCAAAATCGAAACGTGTAAATCATGCAGACATTATTTCAAATCACTAAATTCTTAGGCCCTTTACATTCGTTAAGCTTAATTTTCTTTCCAAAAATTAAGAATAAAATTAAGGCATCTTCCTAATGTTTTTCTTTGAAAAAAAAAAGTGGAGAAATGGATGTAAGCCCTGTGTTCTTGCAGGAGTGTGAGAGATAATTTCTGAAACATACTGAAACATCATTGCAACCATTCATTAAAAAGTATTTATTAAGTGCCTACTGTGTGCCAGGCACAATACTAGGTGTTGGGGACACATTCCATGACAACACTAGGATGGACTCAATTCTCAGCTTCATGTCATCATTTCCTTAATACTAGAAAGATATCATTTAAACAGTGAACACTTAAATTCTATTTTTGGCATAACCCTTCAGTGTTTTTTCCCCCTTCAAAACTCTCAGGTGTTTTAATGAAATTGCAATGCATGCCCTATAAGTCTGGAGCTTCCACTACAGCTACCCCATGAAATGACATGAAAACGTGGACTGATTTAAGACCCTCTCGAGAATCCAAGCAATTTATAGGATTTTAGTTCATTAAGAAACAAAAGTGATCTAAGGAATATAGTTTATTTCCCATCCTTCAGAGTCTCTCTAATGCTTCTAATATTCCAAAAGCCTTTACCTAGATTCTACCCTATGCATTACCCAACACTGACATCAGATACTGAAGTTGATAAGGAAGCAATGTGGATGATGACAAAATTGAATTACAATACGATTTTTTTCATTCGTACATTTGTTACTCAATACACTGTTAACTTCTAACGATTTGAAAAAAGAACACTTATTTATATTATTGCTGTTCATTCCAACTCTTCATGACCCCTTTCGGTTTTCTTGGCAAAGATACTGGGAATGGTTTGCCATTTCCTTCTCCAATTCATTTTACAGATGAGAAAACTGAGGCAAACAGGGTTAAGTGACTTGCCCAGGGTCACACAGCTAGTAAGAGTCTGAGGTCTGACTTGAACTCAGGAAAAGGAGTCTTCCTTGGCTCCAAGCCTGGCACTCTACCCACTGTGCCACTTAGTAGTGTATGCTGCTACTGCTGCTGTTTAGTCATTTCATTTGTGTCCAATTCTTCATGACCCCATATGGGGTTTCCTAGCAAAGACAGTAGAGTGATAGGCAAACTAGATTACGTATCCAAAGCCGGATTTGAATTCAGGTCTTCCTGACTCTAATGTATACAACTTTTAAAATCAAGAAAAGTTAATAATGTTCCTACTAGTGATGGGCAGATGCTGAGATGACAATGACTTCAAATTACTGTAGTCTGAAAAAAAAATCATACTTTCTTAAGAAATTCATACATGGGTTCTCTGACTCCAAATGCACTGCTCTTTCTACTACATTGTGCTACTGTAGTCTTGTAATGATACTCCAGTTAATTGAAAACATTCATTCTTTTTCATTTGCATTGATATCTTTTGTCTTTATGCCTCTTCCTTTTCTGAATATATCCCTTCTTCCTCCTCTACCCAGCGAACCATCCTTTGCAACAAAGGTTAAAAAAAAAAGGGGGGGGAAGCAGTGCATCAAAACCAACATATGAACCACGTCTGACAGTGTATTCAGTATTTCACACCCACAGCCCACTACATCGGCAAAGAGGAAGGAGGAGGAGGAGGCAAGTTACATTTTTTTTTCGCTACTTTCCAGCTTGGTCATCATAATTAGTAGCATATTTCTAAATCAAGGGACTGCTCTTGATTTTTGCTGGACTTTTTTTGCCCCTTATTTCTAACTTGAAAAAGTAAAAGCATCATCTGCAAAAAAGTCTGTGAATATGATGCTTCCTTGGCAGTTGCAGTAACAAAAATAAACACATTGATTTTTTTAACCAACATTTACCACATGCTTTTGTCTCAAACAGCATAATCTTGAATTTCTTGAAAAAACAAATGATACAAGGAACAAAGAAGTAATTTTTGCTGTTTAGAAAGTGCCAGATTAGCAACCTAGCAAAATTATTTGTAGTATAAAAACAAGTGTCTCATGCAGACCACTTTGCCATCACCAGAAGAACACTCTACAAATGAAGGGAGGCAAATTCCCTGGAGAAGATTTTTAAAAGCTGATATTTGGTCACAGTGCCCCTAGACAAATCTTTTCATAAATTTATCCTTTTTGATTTGACATTAATATTTTGTTCTTAAGGAAGTAACCTCAAAAGAGTTTTTCCCCCCTAAAAAAAGGTAGAAATTGTAATAAACACACGCAAGCACTGCTCTAAATGTATGCATTTTGATTAACAAATTAACACAAGGTAAGTGCATAGTCGGGGAGAAGCATAGGACATAATCCCATTAAGATAAGCCAAGAAAGTACAGGGTTTTTTTCCCCCTTGAAAAGTATTTTTCCACTTGTCCAATTCACAAATATAGCTCACTTACCTTCACAGGTCCATGCTGATAATTAGATCCCCGCAGGAGATGCAGATAGGAGACCATGAAAATATTCACAATTGCCCACTGTGTGTACATTCTGATTTTTTTAAAAATGTCCACAGAATATTAAGAAGCTGGTGTCTCACAGCCAGAGGAATCTGTTTCAAAATTCATTTCTCTTGCAGAAAGTAAGTTTTCAAAATGTTTTCTCTAGACCCTCAAATTTTCCAGTTGAAAAAGCAAACACTCACTGGCAAGCAAATTCAATGTAACTGCCTCGACTACTCAAAGTATTTGATGAAGTGATCTTGTAGGGGAGAGATTAGGAGGGGGGGAAAAATTTTATGCTCTTAAGCTCTCAAAATTAACTGTGAAGTTCCTGAAGTAAAAAAAATTCTTCCCACCTGAAAATGCAAAGTCCCCCCCCCCCAATCCATTTTATGTCCAGAAGATTTCAAAATCAGGCATGTCTCGTGCTCCACAATATAGCTCCTTCTAAAGAACGTATTCCAACAGCCAATATTTTGAGTTGCCGAGTGCAGCAATTCAACTTGGTATTAAAACTTTTTTCATAGCCTTCATGGAAGCCTGCAGAAGAAGCATGTGTCTTCAATCTGATACAAATTTTGGCAGAAAATGCAGTGAAGTCTTGGCTGTAATCCTACCAATAGCGTGGCAGTTTTAAAACTCACTGGAACACTCTAGATGACTCTTATTTTAAAGCAGATAACCTGTAACATGAAACTTCAGTCTAGGCTTGGATGAGTTCCGTAGCGGAATAGCTAACATTGCTCCAGAAAGTACCCAGGACACCCTTTTACAGCCTGGGACACAGGATTTACTTAATAGGTCTTCAAAAGAAAGAAATTGAATCTGCTTGTTCCATGTCATTTACCCCCTCCTCCGGCCCTCTCTCCTTCCCCTCCCTCCAACAGAAGTCTAGGGTTCTTATGTCAAAATAAGACACTTTCCTTTTTTAAACAGAAGCAACATTTATTTGTATATATCAGAAATCTCTTTCTACATGTTTCTATATTAATAAAACTAAATGCATTTATCGTACTTCAATGTGTGAGCTTAAAAAAGTATTGGTACATATTTGGGGTTTTTAACACTCATCCAGCGTTAAACACAAATGGAAACAATCTGGTAATTAGCTGGACCTACTTTTTTTTTACTTTTTCACTAGTTTCCTATCTTGGATTTCCAAGTTCTGGCTCTTTCAAATCCATTCTTGCCACTTCTGAAATCAATGATAGCTTGAGAAATCTCTGCTTCCGTATTCATCACAAATGGACCTATAACAAAAATACGTCAGGAAGTCATACAAGAACGATAGAAAACGTCACTTTTCACTGGGTTCTGTGAACAATGAGCAGAGATTCTGTAATTTTTGTATGATGGAAAAGTGGGGGAAGGGGGCTAGCTTGGCAGCCCTTAGCTCCTATTGTGTGCATTAAGAGCTCCTCAAGCCAAGAGATAGGGCATAATAATATCAATAATAATAATAATGGACATTTAAATAGTGTTTTACACACATTAATAATAGATTAATAGAATAATAGAACAAGAATAGAATAATAGAAGAACAGATTAATAATAACATATATATTTAAGGTTTATAGATTTTTAAGATGTTTTAGGTTTGCAAATCACTTTACATGTTATCTTATTTAATCTTGACAACAATCCTGTGACATAGGTGCTGTTGTTATAGTATCTGAGGCTGGATTTGAACTCAAGTCTTCCAGACTCACATCCAGCTCCATTTGAGCTGTCAGACCCTGTGAGATTGATACTGCAAGTAGAATGGAAAGGAATATGCATATATTAAGCACCTACTATGTGCCAGGCATTGTTCTTAGTACTTTGCAAATATTGTCCTCAGTTTACAGCTGAGGAAACAGGCTCAGAGATGTTAAATGACTTGCCCATAGTTAGGTTTCAGATTTTCCCAACTCCAAGTCCAGCACTCCATAATGCCAACCAACCCATGCCAACTTATTAGAAGAGCTAATAATCCAGTCTACTTGTCTTAACATTCTTAGCTTTAGTTTTTCAAAGAAACATTTTTGATAATTGGTCAATATTATGAAAGTATCCAACAAGAGTCTCAGGTTCCTCATCCACAAAACAGTGACAGTAATACCTAAATTATCTTTCGCAGAGTTGTTGTGGGACTCAGACTGTACATTTGCTACATTAAATCCGTTCCAAAGTCACAGCTTTAGCACCCGTGACAGGTTTTCATTCTTAGAACAATACTTCTATATATATTTCAAGAAGTTCTAATTAACTTGTGCAAACTAGCAGTATACTTCTCGGCTAATCCTAAAAAAAATAAATAAATAAAATTCCACTGGATTTCTAATTCATGTCAGAAATCAAGCTTATCTGAACCTGCAGAAAGAAGTCTTCCAAAGCTCTTCTCAGAAAATGGGATATTTGTCTCCTTCCCTCTCACTCTACTCCATTCAGTAGTGAAGTGCTACTCTGAAAGAGGCGGCTAGGTAAGCTCAGTGGATGGAGCTCCAGGCTTGGAGTCAGGATAATTCATCTTGAGTTCAAATCTGGTCTCAGACACTTACTAACTAAATGATCATGGGCAAGTCACTTAACCTTGTTTGCCTTAGTTTCCTCATCTGTAAAATGAGCTGGAGAAGGACCACTCTAGTAATTTTGCCGAGAAAACCCAAATGAGGTCATGGAGAATAGAACATGACTGGAAGGACTAAACAATAACAGCTTCCAGTTTGTGACTATCTTCATCCACGTAAAGTTAAGTGAACGATTAGGACAGCTGTAGGCATAGCTCTTAAAAGAGAACGATCCTTTGCTTCACTTTTCTGGAAGTTTCAAACAAAATACCTAATTTATCTGATTGTCTCAATACTCAGTACTTTATGTGTGCTGGCATACCCAGAGTTATCATTTTGCAGCAAAGATTTTTAATCTGAGGTCTGTGAACTTCGTTTAAAATTTTTTTAACATAACTGTATTTCTATGTAATTGGTTTCCTTTGTGATCCTTGTATTTTATTTTATATATTTAAAAATATTATTCTGAGGATGGGTGCATAGGCTTCACAAGACTGCTGAAAGGGTAAGTAAAAAAAAAAAATTCTTTCCCCATCTCCTCTAGGCCAAAAGAATGTGTCACAGGAATGAGCTCATGAGTGTTGGAGCTACTTGTCACTTAATACAGTCATTTTTTCATGACTGGAACAGATGTGATTGACCTACTTGAGAATACTTGAGAAGTTTAATCCCGAATGCCCCTTCCCCCCACTCCTTTTTGGTTCTCTCTCTAATATTATCCTATCTCTTACTAATGATACTTTACAACCCTGAAACCATTCCACATAACAACAGCTGTACTATCACTATCAGATGACTGAGAAAATATATGATGATAAAAAGATGAAAAAATGAATTTAATGTTTGTACGTGTATTTCTATTTTAGTAATCATAATAAAACTTTGTCCAAAACTTTATCACTTTATGAAAGTGATTCAGTGTTTGTTAATTCAGAACTAAGTAGTCTTTGCCTCTACAGGGCAAATGGACAAAATGTTACAAAATAAAAAGTATAGTTAAATGCTGTCCCTCAAGTTAGTTGTGGAGTCAGAGGAAGAAGAAATGATTCTGACTTGGAAATTTTTAGGGAACTTACAACAGCTATTTTTCACTGGGAAATATAATACTCTACAAGGATATTACTAAAATCTCTTTTTAAATTTTGAGTTGCAAAGAGAAGGAAATGGTGTTTAAATACATGCTAGCTTGTAAGCTCCTCATAGGAAACATGTCTTCTTTATATTATAGCACAATGCCCTAAACATAGTAGATAACCAATAATACTTGCTGAGTGAATAATGAATGAACACCAGGAGCCAACACTATAATCTTTCCTTTCTATATTAAGAAGCAGAACAAGGTCCTCAGAACTCTGGAGGGGATAGGATATAATCCTGTCATTCTCTGCAGTAATAACATACATTCACTGCTGTCAAAAGGAAAAAAAGCAAAGAAGAAAACCAATCAAGAAAAGCACCATCATTGTTGGCTTACCGTATTGCACAATCGGTTCCTTAATTGGTTCCCCAGCTATTAAGAAGAAGTGGCTTCTTTCAGGATCCTAATTCAATAACAGCAGGATTAAATTATAATCAGGCTTATGTCTGGAATTTTTTGGCTACCAAATAGGGAACGACTAAAATTTGTAATGCACTGATAAAAACGTGTTCCAACTTCAGGATTTAAATATCAGAAATATTCTGAAGTATTTTATTTCTAATGCTGGTGGTAGAAAAAGTCAATCCCTTACATTATATAGTGGGAAGCAAACTGCAAGCACTAAGCTAGAGCAAAATCTTAGTATTTCCAAATTACACAGATAGAAAGAAAATGGAAATTAAGTTAATCTTGGTCAGGAACCCTGTATGAAAACATTTGAAAAATAATCTTACACTACCATCATCATTTTATAAAAGGCTAATCATTTTTGAAGACGTAGTATTGACCACTGCTTGTTACAATGGTCCAAACGGAGGAGAATTAAAGTTTAATGAAAATAAGTTACCTTGCATAGCAGGGGCTCAGACAAATTACCTTACATTTTTTATACTATAATTCAAAATGAGCTCTATTTGTTACATGCCTCCAAAAACACTGTATAGTTTACAAGAGTGGAATTTATTATTTAGAAAAGAGCATTTCTTGTTCATCAATCATCAGATCCCCATTTAATTATCTGAAAACTATTTATCAAAATAGTTTCCTTACTGGGAATATGGCGGTTATAGTATTTATCTAGACCTAGACAGATAAGCTTATAAGTTATGTGTTTTTTAAAAACAAAATGTTATTGATAGCTTTTTTAATTACAAATGTTGCCTAAATTTTTCTCTATATCCCTCCCCTCCATCCTTCCTGAGAGCCATCCCACATATCAAAGATTTCTTTTCAAAAAACAAGAAAGTGAAAAATCAGCAAACTGATCAATAAGACATTGAAAAAGAATGAAAACATATGCAATGTTGTACACCTATGAATCTACTGTTTTTCCAAAGGAGTGGGTGGAGATGTTTTCTTATAACTTTTCTTTGGATGAGTCATGATTTTTTTTTATAATTTATCAATAAGCTTTTAAATTAATGCATTTAATAAGAAATATTTTACTGAGTAACTTCTATTTCCATTTAATGAATGCCTAGGTCCATAGTTCAAACTAATGAAGAAAACAAATTGCAAGTAGATCAGGCAACAGAATGAATTTAGAAATCTTTTTGGTTATTCTTCATTCATATGTTTATTTGTTTATATGTTTCTATTTATATTTATATGTTTACATTTTACATATTTTTATATATTTACACTTATATGTTTATGTTTCTATAATTTGATTCAAACAAAATAATTCCAGAGTTTTCATGAATAAAATCAATAAAAGTAACTATATAATGTTTGCTTTTGCCATGCAATCCACTCTCCACATAGCTGCCAAATTGAATTTTCTTTAGTACAAGTTTAACCATGGCACTATCCAACTCAATAAACTCCAGTGGCTGATTCTAAGATCAAATGTTGTTTATCTTTATCTCATTCTTTTTTAACTTCTATTTTTGTGTGACTATTATGATGTATATAATCAGTAGCACAGCAAAATGTATATAATTTATTAATAAATAAATATATCTATCTACATAAAAGGGCACACTTTTTTGTTTATGCTAATGGGGTTCACAATCAAGAGAGCTTGAAGACCACTGTTCTAACCCATGCATTTTGTAGTAATTGGTAAAAAGTTTATAAATATAATTTTCGGCTCCTTGACATTTTCTCAATTTACATGATTTCTTTTTTTTTTCCATTTTCATTTCAAACAGGAGAATATAACAAAAAACGTTTAATTTGAGAAATGAGTGAACTGTCTGGAGATTTCTGTTTGGTTTGCCATCCTCTTGCAAATTCATCAAATTGCCTAGGTTCATGTCTTCACAATCTTAACATTAAACTATCTATCACTTCATGTAATGAAATTAGATTTTTCCCTTAAATTCAACAAACAGCAAGGAATTGAGCTAGGTTCTAGGTGCTGGACCTATAAAGACAAAAGCAAAACAGTGGCCCTGGGGGAGTTTATATTTTACTAGGCAATGGCTTTTGTTGTTGCTGTTTTTTTTTCTTTCCTTTCTCCTTAAACCCATCATCCTATTGTCTAACTAGTCTTCTCTGGGTAAAAATGGGATCTTAGCTTTTTGATCAGCTAGCTCAGTTTAAAATTGCACCATCTGGGAACTGAGACTACTTAATCAAACAGTGAAAATGAGTAGGTAGATGGTGTAAAATTGGTTTTAGTCATAAATATTTATCTGGAACTAAACAAACACTTATTTTGTATTTGCTGAAAAGGCTATGAAAGCAAGAAGACAAATTTCATTTATTGTTTCATATACTTATCAGTGTATGCCTCATCCCCCTCTCCCAGCTTCATTATGGGCTTCCTGGAGGTAGGATCGTTTCTTAGACATTTTTCATGTCTCCCAAAGTACCCAGACATAATGCCAAGTATCTCCTGTAGTTGACTGATTAATTCCAAATAACTTAAGATCTTTCTGTTCCACAAGCCCTAAACTGGGTGTCTGGAGTATCAGAGACCACCACAATATGGAGTTTTAAAACAGGATGGAGGTGAAACAATTCGTTTTATAGGCCCTTTTGGCAACACAATTTTGAGTGAGGCTTGGGTGCTTTTTTTCAATTGTTGTGGTTGTTGAGTCATTTTAGTTGTGTCCCATTCTCCACGAACCCATTTGGGGTTTTTTGGCAGATACCAGAATGGTTTGCCATTTCCTTATCCAGCTCATTTTACAAATGTGGAAACTGAGGCAAACAGGGTTAAGTGACTTGGCCAGGTCACACAACTAGTGTCTGAGGCTGGATTTGAACTCAGGTTTTTCTGAGTTCAGGACCAGCATTCTACCTAGTTGAGTCAACTAGCTGTCCCTTTCTTTTTTGTCAGTGAGTCTCTATATATGACTCTGAGGCACTGATTTTGTTTCCAGAATACCTATTACAATAATATATTAATTTTTTTAAATTTCAAATGGAAACAAACAAGTTTTGAATGATGCTCTTGTAATTTGCTCTTACTGACCTTTGAAGTTTTTAATGCTCACACAATTATGAGGGAAATTAATAGTTTGTCATCTTGCACACATATAAGACAATATTAAATGATGATAAAACATTCATATCAGGCTTTAATAGGATTCTGTTTCTCAGATTTATAATTCATACTGTGTTCACACATGGCATTTAGACAATATTCATCTTTAATGTAACTGTTCTGTTTTGGAAGATACCTACCAAAGGGTACCATAAATCATTGATTTCATGCAGAACTCAGCTAATAAGGAAAGTGTTGTCTGTCTTTTAAAAGGTGCACATTTACTAAATGAGTGAATTTGTTAATAATCATTTATTAATTTACTGAATCAGTTTCTATGGAGATCATAGATGGAGTAATGAGGATAATGGCTTTCACAGCATGCTACAGTAGACAGAGTGATAAACTTGTCAGAAAGACCCAGGTTTTGGATCCTGCTTCAGACACTTAGTGTGTGGCCCTGGGCAAGTCACTTAACCTCTCTTGGTCTCAGTTTCTTCATCTGTAAAATGAGAAGACTGGATTCAATGAACTCTAAAGACCCTTTTAGTCCTAAATCTAGATGCTATCATCCTGTGAATGCCTTGAACGGCAGTCATGGGCCATGGGCATTTTTCATGGTTAAAGGGATACGTAGTACTGGGAAGTTACAATGTTCTCAGACAATAGATGTTAACCTAGGAATGAAAATTGGGACAAATCCAGGGTTTACCCCACTCTTAAAAAACCAGACCCAGGTCAATTCTCAGGCCATTATTGGGATTTGAGCCTACTCCACAAAAATCAGGGGCCTGGCTCATCTACAATTTTGCTTTATACCCTAACTGGAATAAATGGTTATTTTAAACCTTAATGGTTGTTGTTTGGTTGTTTTCAGCTCTTCAGGACTCCAACTAGGGTTTTCTTGACAAAGACACTAGAATGCCATTTCCTTCTCCAGCTTACTTTACAGATGAGGAAACTGAAGGAAACAAGGTTAAGTGACTTGCCCAAGGTCACACAGCTAGTGAGTATCTGAGGCCAGATTGAACTCAGGTCTTACTGACTCCAGACACAGCCTTTATCCACTGCACCACCTAGCTGCCCCTAACATCCAATAGGAGCAGAAGTAATTGATGACTTTAGGGGAATAATACTATGATTAATTTAAGACTAAACTGCCCTTTATGGACTATCTAAGTCCAGATTCAAGGCCCTAAGACTTCAAGAACTAGCTCAGCCTCCAGAACTGCAATAATGACCCCTCTAGGATCTGGCATCAAATGGTTTGAGTTGCAAGAGAAGTTTCTGTGATGATGTGTTATCCAAAAGGGATGAGGCAAACTAGTCCAGATGTTGATAACTTTTTAAGGGAAAAGAGCCATTCTGGATAATAGTCTTAGAACATAATATCTTGCTAAGTTGTAAGTATATTCATTTGTAAGCTCATCAACAGAGCAGCTGGGTGGCGCTGTGGATACAGCACTAGGCCTGCAGTCAGGAAGACTCATCTTCATGGGTTCAAATCTGGCCTCAGAGACTTACCAGCTGTGTGACCCGGAGCAAGTCACTTAACCCTGTTTGCCCCAGTTTCCCCATCTGCAAAATGAGCTGGAGAAGGAAATGGCAAACCACTCCAGTATCTTTGCCAAGAAAACCCCAAATGGCGTCAGAAGGAGTTGGACACCCCTGAAAACAACTGGACAACAACAACACACTATCTCTCCACTTGCAAAGGAAGTGATTCCTAAGAAAAAAGAAGTTTCTAGGCTCTTTGGGTCTCCATGCTGTGATAATTAATTTATTAGTTAAATAAGAAATGGTGAAGTGATGAGATAATGGCCATTCTTTTATCCATTTCCCATTTTTCAGTGTTAACAACTTGTTTAAGAAGGTCATTTTAGGGGGCAGCTAGGTGGTGCAGTGGATAGAGCACCGGCCCTGAAGTCAGGAGGACCTGAGTTCAAATCTGGCCTCAGATGAAACACTTGACACTTACTAGCTATGTGAACCTGGACAAGTCACTTAACCCCAATTGCCTTAAAAAAAAAAGGTCATTTTAATGTTACCTTAACTATATGCCACGTTTTCAAATTTTATTCTTTCTTTTAATTTGGTATTGATTTTAAACTTTGCTCTAACAGTAGGTGGTCTGACAGATTGCTGATTTGGGAATGACCTCCCACAGCAGTAACCAGTCATTTCCTGGCAGGATAAAATCAGCTTCATTTGTTGTGCTGTTATTTGGTGTTTGCTATGTCCAGCTTCTCCCTAACTCTCTACTTAAAAAATAAAGGCATAAAACTTCTGTATATTCTATAATGTTGGCCTCTCATTTCGTATTCCTTGATTAAATTTTCAACACATATTTCTCTGTTCTTCCATCTCTCCATACCCATATTTGCACTGATGTCCCTAAGTCAGAGGTGGGGAACCTGTGATCTCAAGGCCACCTTTAGGTCCTCAAGTGCAGAAGGGATTCACTCTTCCGGAATTCCCCACCCTTGCACTAAACTTTGGTTGAATTTGACATCTTATTGATTTATTCATAGAATTTTTTTTCATCCTTAATAATCAATGGTGAAGAATAAGTGAAATTATATTTATGGTCTTACTTCAAATATTTGACATGAGAACAGCATTATGAGATGATCTAGAGTCCTGTGAGATGTTTCTTGTCACTTGAGATGCATTAAAAATCAACTTCCAACTCCATTACAGTATTTGTCTCTTTAAGAAAAAAAACTCAAAAGCAACCCTTCCTTTTAGCTATAACTTCCTTTTCACTTCTTTCAATATATACAACATGAATATATGTGTAAACTGTGTGTGTGTATGTGTACATATGTGTGTGTGTGTGTGTGAGAGAGAGAGATACAGTTGCTCTAGTAGAATATCCACTTGGTCACTGGACGGGAATCACACATTTAGATTATCAACAGGTAAGGTGATTTTGACAGGCAGTCTAAAAACTCTGCTTTATAGTCTCTTCTGTTCTCTTGTTTTGGTTGTACAGTGGATAGAATGGAAGGTTTCCGGAAAAACCAGTAATCTTAGTTTTATATAAAAATTTAGATCAATGTTGGCCCTGCCTCTTTCACAGAGTAAAGTATACGGGCTTTAGGGAAATAATTTTCTTTGTTGTTCAGAGGCTTTTTTCATTTACAACTAAGCTTGTGGCAATATTCTATATGATTAAAATTAGAACCTACACTAAGATATAATCATAGCTAAGCTATTAATCATAGCTAAGACAGATGACCGTAAGAAAAGCCACTGTTTAGCTTGAACTGATTTAAGCCAGGTCTACTATTTCCTAATTGTACCTTTTTTGTTTAAGTTATTAGAAGCTTTTATAAGTCTTTTCATCCTTTCCTTATAACATTAATTTTTTAATAGTATGTTATTTTTCCCAATTACATGTCAAGACAATTTTTAGTATTCATTTTTTAAAATTTAAAAATACTTTATTGCTAAAAAAAATGCTAACCAATATTTGAGCCTTCAGCAAGTCATAATCTTTTTGTTGGTGGAGGGTCTTTCCTCAATGTATAACATTAATCTTAAATAAATTTGAAATTAACCTTAAATCTGAAATTTTAGTTTTGTAAGCCGTTTGAGTGGATAACTGTCTCATAGTCAGCATTGTTTAGTTGGCTAAAATGGCAGTGACTTAAAAGGGCAAAGGAAGAGTGTATTTAAAATAAGCATGGGAAAGAAACTTTTGCTGTTTAGTAATTTTAGTTGTGTCTGACAACTAATTCCATTTAGAGTTTTCTTGGCAAAGATACTGGAGTGGTTTGTCACTTTCTTCTCCAGTTCATTTTACAGATGAGAAAACTGAGGCAAACAGGTTTAAGTGACTTGCCCAGGGTCACACAGCACTGTTAAAAAGTGTCCAAGGCCAGTTTTGAACTCAGAGAAATGAGTCTTCCGGACTTGAGGCCCAGCCACCTAGTTCCTTGGGAAAAGAATTACAAGAAGAGACAGCTTGAGAAGATGTATTTTCCTAGTATCATTAATCAAAAAATAGACTCAAGTTATTCATATCGTATAGCTCTTTCGAATTTTGAATTCACAGTGTCTTCAAAGGACATGAGAATCAGAAGTCATAAATAACAACAAAACAACACTATGAATCAGTCTACTTCTCAACATCTTTTGGCTTTTACCTCTCAATATAGAAGCAGAAAAATAACAAAATGAAAGCTTTGCTCCATTTAAGGTAAAGACGAAATTTCACGTTATAGAAAATGGAGCTACAGAACTGTTGTGTTTTCAAATTTCCTGAGGAAAGAGTAGTAATTGACTTATTTTAGAAAAACCTAGAGATTTAAGGTTCTTACTGAAAAGAGGCAGAAGTGAACCATTGAAAATTTCAAAAATAAATGAGGATTGATAAATTTGATTATAAATGGACTCTTTTTTTTTTCCAGGAAAGAACTTAAAAACTCAGACTACAGAGGAGATTCAGTAAAGAGCATTGGCCAATTTCTAAGGAAGTAGCTGAAAGGAATATTTCAAAGAATAAAAATGATGATTATGGAGAGTTACCTTGTTTTCTACCTGGACACTGTCACCACCCCCCAACACTGCAGAGTGATGAGGTTCAACTTTTTGTTGTTCACCGTCAGGGCCTTAAAAAGGGAATCGAAATTAAGTTTAATTAAGTTTACAGTAATTGTATGACTACATATTATCTTAATTATACACACTAAGTGTGATATGTATTCATTTATACTTTCTTTTTTAATTTTATTTTTTATTTATGGAATAAAATAAGCATTTCCATAACATAGTACAATGAAAAAGATGACTATACACGAAATTGCAAATCTATTATACACAACTTGCTATTCCTTTCAAATATACAACAATATTATTATGTAAATTTCTTTTTTTTCTTTTTCTTCCCTCCCCCTCCCCCTAGAGATGGCTACCATTGCCATCAGACATACATAGGTGTGTATATGTATATATATATGTAAAATTAATATATATGTAAAATTATTTTATACATACTTCTACTTATCAGTTCTTTCTCTGGATGTAGATAGCATATTTCTTCATATGTCCTTCATAGTTAATTTGGGTATTTATAATAGATAAAATAATCACTTTAAGTCATTCTTAAAACAATATTACTGTTACTGTATACAATATTCCCTTGGTTCTGCTCATGTAGCTCTTCATTATTTTGTGCAAGGCTTTCCATGTTTTTCTAGAATCACTGAGCTCATCATTTCTTATAGCACAGTAGTATTCCATCATAATCATATACCACAACTTGTTCAGCCATTCCCCAGTTGATGGGCATCCCTGCAATTTCCAGTTCTTTGCCACCACAAAGAGAGCTGCTAAAAACATTCTAGAACATATAGGTTCTTTTCTTTTTCCCCTAATCATCTTTGGAAATAGACCAAGTAGCGGTATTGGTGAGTCAAAGCGTATAAGTAGTTTAATAACTCTTTGGCCATAATTCCAGATTGCTCTTCGAAGCAGTTGGATCATTTCACAATTCTACCAACAATGAATTAGTATTCCAATCTTTCCACATCTTCTCCAACATTTGTCACTTTCCCCTTCTATCATTTTAGCCAACCTGGTAGGTATAAAATGATACCTCAAGGTTGTTGTTTTTTTGGCTAGGCAATGGGGTTAAGTGACTTGCCCAGAGTCATACAGCTAGTAAGTGTCAAGTGTCTGAGGCCGGATTTGAACTCAGGTCCTCTTGACTCCAGGGCTGGTGATCTATCCACTGTGCCACCTAGCTGCCCCTCAAGACTGTTTTAATCTGCATTTCTCTAATCAATAATGATTTAGGGCATTTTTCAATATGACTATAAATTATTTTGATTTCTTAATTGGAAAACTGTCCATATCCTTTGACCATTTATCAGTTGGGGAATGACTCGTATTTTTTATATATTAGAGATGAAACCTTTATCTGATGAACTATCTATACATTTTTCCTCCAATTTTCTGCTTTCCTTCTAATCTTGAGTATATTTATTTTATTTGTACAAAACCTTTTTAACTTAATGTAATAGGAGTTGTCCATTTTATACCTAATTTTGCTCTCTATCTTTTGTTTATTCATAAATTGTTCACCTGATCCACAAGTCTGATAAGTAATATGTCCCATGTTCTTCTAATTTTCTTGTAAAATCTCTCTTTATATCTAGGTCATGTAAACATTTTGACCTTATTTCAGTAAATAGTGTGAGACACTGGTTCATGTCCAGTTTCTACTATACTGTTTTCCCATTTTCCCAACAATTTTTTACCAAATGATGAATTCTTATCTCAAATCTTAAAGTCTCTACACTTGTCAAATATAAGGTTATTATTTTTATTTCATGCTGTAAATTGTATGTCTACTCTACTCCATTGATCTACCTTTCTGTTTCTTAGCCAGTACCCGACAGTTTTGATAATTATTGCCTTATAATACAGTTTAAGATATAGTACTACTAAACCTCCTTCCTTTATACTTTTTTCATTATTTCCTTTCATATTCTTGATTTTTTTTTTCCAAATGAATTTTATTATTTTTTCTAATTCAGTAAAATAATTTTTGGTAATTTAATTGGGATGGCATTGAATATATAAATTAGTTTGGGTAATCCTTTAAAAAATACTTTAGATTTTAAAAAATAGAAAAATACTTTCAAAATAGAAGAAAGATGTTTTCCAATTTATTTACCTGAGCATCTTTGTATGACTTTTAATTTTTGGCTGGCTCATAGCCATAGCAGTAAAGAACAAATGGTAAGGTCATTTTTTATATTTGTTTGCATTTTTTCCCCATAGCTTGGTAATTCCCATATTTTGGTAATGACTTTTGCTCTAAAAGCCCCTATGAGTCCAATTTATTCCATGTGAAATGCAACATCTAAGAGCCAAGCACACTTAGGGAAATGCAAAGATGTCTTCATAGCCACCAGCAATGAAATTCAGCCAGTGTTTATGAAGCATCTTACTACGCGTCCAGCATTGCAGAATGCACAAAAGAAGTATTAGTCAAGTTCCTTCCCGCCCCCATCATGGGACATAAAGCCTCATTGGAAAGAGAAGTCATGTATCAAACCAGATAAACTATCATATTATCTGCAATTGTGATCATTTTATTTCTTCTTTGCCTAGGCTTATTCCCCCCATTTCTTTTTTTTTTCATTGCTATAGCTAATATTCCCAGAACCAAATAGTAGTGGTGACATTGGACATAAATTTGAATTACTCCGATCTAACTGAAAAAAGCTTCTAGTGTTTCTCTAGTTCAGATTATACCAACTCTTACTTTTATATAGATACTTTTTTAAAAAAAAATCAAATTAAGGAAAGGTCCACTTGTTCCTATACTTCTGAGGTTTGTTTTTTTTTTAAACATATCAATATTGTCTTTTGTCAAAATACATACTCAGTTTTTCAGGGTAACATTTCATTTTTTCTTTTGGAATGTAATATACCAAGAATTTATCTTATTTAAAGGAATTGCATCATAGTGTTGAGTGATTCTGACTGTGGTTCCCTGGTACATGACTTTTTCTTTTACTTGGAGCATTTTTCCTATTACTTGGAAACTGTAAATTTTAGCTGTGACAATTCTAGGTGTTTTTAATTTGAGGTTTCTTTCTACTGATGAACATTGTACTGTTCATATTTTCATTTCTTTGATTCTAATTGATCTGGGAAGTTTCTTTTATGATTTCTTGAAATATAATATTCAGATTTTTTTTCCTATTTGGTCATGGTTTTCTAGGAGGCTAGTGATTCTTAAATTATCCCTCCCCAACCTATTATTTTACATAGAAGGAACCTTAAATTTTCTTCCATTTTTTCAATCTTTTTACTTAGTTCTAATATTTTTTTTGGCCTCAGAATCACTGAGTACTATTTGTTCCATTCTTGTTTTTCAGGGAGTTTAGTATTTGGTGTAAGGATCTCCACCTTCTATTCTAAGCTATTTATTCTTTTTTCCCTCAAAAGCTCTAATTTCACTTGTAACTTAACTTTCACATTTCCTCGCACTTCATGTCTTCCAGCAATTCTTGGGGTCCTTTAGCAAAACATGATTTTTTTCTTTACTTATCATGGAATGACTTCTTTCTTCTGGGTTTATCTCATAGGCTTCTCTTGATTCTTATTATTTCTTCATTGTATTTAGCGTGTTACTCTGTTTACTCATTTTCCCTACTTAGTTTCTCAGTTGAGACTTTGGATTATGTCCAGATGCTCTTCCCATTCACACTTCGGATGTCTTGAGCAGGCATTGCTTGGACCTCTTCCCTCCACAGTCTGCATGCTACAGATACTTCTTCTGCATTGGGTGACTAGGAATAGACCCCGGCCCCTGCTAGAATCCCTAGCATCTGGGTCAGTTTCCTGGTGACCCAATTCGGGTTTGCCCTCAGCCCTTCTTTGTCTCTTCTTTGCACAAAACCCAACCCAATGCTGTCTTCATCTCCTGACAGATTCTAACACAAAATGATAAACTGCACTGGTGACAAGCTTCCTATGAAGTCACTGGTCCTGGAGCTGCCTGGTTGCTAAACCAACCCTCTCTTTCATACTGACTCTGACAAGAGTGTTGGTTTCAGGCCTCTTGTAAGGCTGCTGGTGCTGCCTGGGGAATGAGCTGGCCCTCTCTCCCAATGTGGCTCAAAAATGGGTTTCCTAGGAAATATGTTGTCCTTCACTCTGAGGTGTTGCCAATGGTTACCTCAGTGCTGTGGTTCTAAGTGCTAACTTTGGACCTCTTGGTGGGTCTCAGGCACACAACTAACTTGGTGCTGTGGTAGATACCATTGTTCTAGCCTGGTCTGGACAGTGTGCTAGCTTTGTCCCCTGTGCTGAGGCACTGGCTTATGGAATCTTCAAAGGTTCCAGGCAAGTATATGCCAACCAGCCCAGATATATCCCAATGCTGCAACTTACAATACCTGGCTTTGTCTTCTGTTGCTCTGACATGCCAGAACCAAGATCCTGCTAGCTTTAGGTCCCAGCTTGGAGCACTGGCTCCCTTATTTACTACCTTATGCCTTCTTATAATGCCCAAAGGCATTTTAAAGTGGTCTTCCTGTGCAGTCCTGGACTAGATAAAGAAGTTTCTTACTATTTTCCTTTGGTTTTCTCTATCATTATTATTTCTTCTGGTGTGTTTTTAGAACTTAGAGTCTTTGTGGTAGAGCTGGGCTTCTTTTGAACCTTTCTGGTTGCCATTTTAGCCTGAAGTTGACTTAGGTTGAATCTCAAAGGTTGGATAGGAACTGGATAGAGGTACAGCAAAAGAGGGGAAAAGTTCCAGGAAAGGTTAAAATAAAAATAAAAAGAATAAATGCGTAGAGACAAGATCAAACATGGAGTTTTGGAGGAAAATAAAGACATTTGCCTGGCTGAGGTAGAATATTCACACGAAATTAAGGTGTTGGATTAAATGGTCTCTAAATTCCCTTCCTACTCTAAATTATATAACTGTATTATAATCTATTATATGGAAACTATTGTGGATAAACTGTGGAATGGCTTATGATCCCTGAATTGTTTCTATTTTATATGTATGTATATATATACATACATATGCATACATATGCATATGTATACGTGTATGTGCATATATTATATATAATATTTCTAT